TTGAAATCGCATTTGCGTAACTCACAGCAGCTCCATGAGTGGCGGCGGCATTCCGCGAGCGAGTTCGGCAGTCGGCGCTAACACTAAGAGAAGAAGCCCCACGCATCCGAGCTCCGCTATCGATAAAAGAAATATCGATAACCCACACGTGACACAGGGAGACAGGGACTCGAATTTCTGCTTCTCTTGGCAAGCCAAACCTCCAAGCTCCACGCTCGCGAATCACGGTGGACAAGCACGCCAATTACCCAAAAAGACAGTCTCCCTGAACGTCATTTGCACCATTGCTCACTACGAGGAGCTGTGAGTCGTATTGATTGAGGGACAAGCTCCCTCGAGCGTTGTCAACATGTCGCAGACCATTGGGCTGGTAAGCTAGCTTCCCCCCGAACCATAAGTTCCATGCCCCTTTCGGTCACCACCACAACCAGCAGCAGAACAGAATGGCGCTGACCGACCATTCTCCGTAGACGAAACTGGCCTACTCACGAACGTGGCACCATGTATCGGCCTCGGCGCCTCACCCGACCCTCTCCACACAACCGAACATCACGCCGCCATCGCTCGGCCGGCTCGCCTCGCGCATCGCCACGATACTGATGGGCAAGCACAAGCCGATCTGGGACCCGTCGACGGACTGCGGCGACTACGTGGTGGTGACGAACTGCGCGGCGCTGCACGTGACGGGGCGCAAGAAGTGGCAGAAGACGTACTACCGGCACAACACGCGGCCCGGCAGCCTGCGCTCCGTCACCATGGACGTGCTCATGGCCAAGCACGGCGGCGCCGAGGTCCTGCGCAAGGCCGTCAGCGGCATGCTGCCCAAGAACCGCCTCCGCGACAAGCGGCTCGCCCGGCTCAAGGCCTTCGAGGGCGATGCCCACCCGTACAAGCAGAACCTGGTGCGGTTCGGCGGCGTCGAGGTCGGCAAGGAGGGCTGGGCGGAGGCGGTCAAGGCTATTAGGCAGGCCGATGTCGAGCGGTTGTAGGGAAGCGTAAAGAAATAGAGGACGTCGAGGGAATGGGGAAGAGGGGTGGAATAGAGGAAGTTGTATGCATAGGTTGGCATGAAAGGCAACAAGCGAGCACGCCTCGCACCTTGATGTCAGGAAGAACCTGGCTGTGTATATCTGTTTTGTACTACATACAACGTGTACGCATATAATGAAAGCATCTCACGAAATCTACTGCCAGTAAAAAAAAAACGCGTATGGGAGGTTAAGTTATCGCGCATCCGAGTGCAGAAAGGTGGAGATGTTATATCAACACGAGGCACAAGTAGGAGGGAGGTATGATGATGCTTTATTTGATTTACTCAAGGTATCTAATCATCTAATGATGTTGCAATATCGCCCGAGAACATCCAAACGAAACACATAATATATATCTTGGGGCCGAAGTACCCCAGAACGTCTCGGGCGAGGATGAGCAGCAAAGCAAATGTCTGCAGAGGGCAAAGACACCGCCGACTAAAAATCTCGATATGAAGTCATCCATGCAACAGGACGCCGGACTCATGATGCATAATAGCTTAAGAATGTGGCTTTCTTGGCTTCCTCCCCTCTCTGCTATTCTCTCTCTTTACCCTTTTTCTTTTTAAGAGCGCGAGACCTCGCACTTGATGAGACCATTGGGTCCGGATTGGGGAGCGTACACCTCGGCATCCTCGCCTGTGTTCTTTAGACCCTTGTGCCACGATAGGTCTACGAGAGGGGACAGAATGCAGTTAGCTCAGCTCGGTTTTCTCATAATACAGATTTTTTTCTCCAATCGACGTGGAATACGTCGCTGATAAGAATACAGGAGAATAAGAAGACAGAAGAAGAAGGAGGAAGAGGAAGAGGTGAAGGAAGAGGGTGGGGGTGAAAGACCACTTACCGATCTCAAAGTAGTGCTTGTTCGGCAGGGAGTAAGTGACGGTGGCGACCTCGGGCGCGGCCTCGAGGATCTTCTCGCACATGATGTACATGGTGTTCTGGACCGAGGGGCTGTCCTGCTCGGCGAAGGTCTTCATGGTGATGGCGCGCGCGGCGTCGTAGGCGGCGTCGAAAATGTTGTCACCGGCATTGCCGGCGGCGGCGCGCTCGCGCAGCGCCTCCAGCGTCGGGATCGCGTTCCACCGCCAACGGGCGTCGACCTCGGTCGACAGGATGCGGTCCCAGGTCTCGGCGAGGGTGGTGAACTCGTCACGCACGAAGCCATGGAACTGGGAGCCGGTGCTCTTGAGCACGAGCAGGCCGGCGATGCCGCTGGTCAGCTCGATGCCGGCGCCGCGCGAGACGCGGGCCTCGACGACGCGGGCGTCCTCGCCGTCGCGGTGGAAGCTGTGCGGGTGCGGGCGGCCGTCGATAGTCATGCGTGTCCAGCGCTTGACCGCGATTGTGATGTTGGCGGCGCTGATGTGGGCGTACTGGTCGAGGAAGTGCTGGCCCAGGATGCCGGCGAACAGCTCGGGCGGGTTGACGGGGTGCTCCCGCGCCTTGATGTAGATGGTGTTCTTCATGCTGTCCGTCGCCACCACGCACGCGTTGTCCGCCGCCGTGTACGAGGCCTCGATGGCGCCCTCCAGCAGCACGCACACCGTCATCTCCGTCACCGTGTGCGTGCCCGTCGCCGCGTCCCGGTGCACCTTGTACACGCGGACGTTGTCCTTGCCGTATCGGGCCGCGGTGACTCGAGGCATGATGGATGGGGTTTTTATTACCAAATAGGTATTTTATTTGCTTTGGTTTTTTTATAAGCGGGCTGATGGTAGAACGGCGTGTCTGCGATGCTTTTCCGAAGCTGTCTGGTACGGCCTTGTTTTCCCCCCTCTCTGGAGCGGTTGGCTGGTCTTTCCGAAAGATGAAGACGGGCTTTATAGAAAAAAAGATAAGGACCGGGTGAGAGCTCAAATGATTCAAGTAGTGCAAGTGGATGTAGGTCTTTCTTGACGCAACACAGATCGGTAGATAAAGGGATTTGTGAGATCAGTGAGATCCAGTGAATGTGCGTGTTAGAGGGAGAGGGAGTGAGAGAGAGAGAGAGATACCTAGGTAGAGACTAGTGAAGGTCGGTAGGTAGCGCGGAGAAGACGAGATGGGATGAGATGATGATGTACCGTTAGATAGTGTGTGTTTGACTACAATTCACACAAGAGAGCACGAGATGCAAGACAGAGACAAGATGTGTTGGAATAGGAGACGGGCGTCTCTAGAGCAATTTATATGTCGTCAAGTACATGTAGGTCTAAGTAGCTACTACGGGAGTTACCAGGAGTCTGTGTCTAGGATTGGAGAGCTTTCCCCCCTGAGAAGTGAGCCATCGGAATGGAAAGCCCCATATTGTAGGAAATCATACATACGAATACATACTCGTACGTACACATTACCTATCTGGGCAGATATTCCTGCAGACTGATGAGAGAAGCTTCTCGGAAAGCGCCTTTTGGGCCGCATCGAATTGTTCTAGAAAGCGGCGCGACGCTGGTCCCCGGGTTTTCGGTGATCGCCAGCAGCTCGCGCTCTCTCGCCCATGATACGTCCATGTTAGATGGATACTACCTAGGTACTCTACTACTGTAAGTATACATACCCTGATACGTTAGTCGATATCGGCCGAGGGCTCCCAAGCTTATTGGAATCCCAGCATAACCGCGCTACTACCGGAGAAAGCTTGGTGCTTGGTGCAGCCAATATGTCCATAACACGGAGTGCGCCGAAGACCCCGAATCGCAGCTGGCGGATTCCTCGATTCTGGCGCCATGAACTCAACTCCGGCTATCTATCTCCCTCGAGCATTTATACGACTAATAGAAAGAGGAAGAAATCCACAATTTCCACTTCTGGGAAGTAAATGTGTACAGGTAAATAGCTTCGGCCATGAGTTCGATCCTGTTGTTTCATACCTACGTAGGTATCTTTCCAACAGTCTTGAGCAATATCTCATCATCCCGAGGCGCTCTTTAGATGTACCTAGGTATGTCTTCTTCGGAGACGATGCATGGATGGTACGAAGGCTACTGGCTAAGTACTTCACAGCAGTTTACGGGCTCACGGGCAGGCGGGCGTCAGAAAAAACGCCGCTCCATCCTAATCCCTCTTAATCGTCACCTAAAGACTCCGATTTCATATCAACACCTCCTTACAACTAACGCATTAAAACTAAAGCTTTTTATATCCTTTTAAAGAGAAATGAAAGAATTATAAGGGTGTTATTTTTAATCTTTAAATAGCAATTGTTATTGCTTATATTTAATGGTTAAATATATGTAGAGATTTATCTTATTATATGGGTGTGTGTGGCAGACGATTGGCTCGAGCGCCCCAGCGTTTATTGTGCAGCTTGCCTGACGGGGTACCTGAGGACCCCTCCAACCTCGTCATATAGATCTGCGGGGTCGCCATTCACAACTGGGCAATTGAATGCATACTGTGAGTATTCCATTTTTCATGGGCATCACTACATTAATTACCCTTTCGCAAAAAACACCCCGACATATCGATCCAATGACTTCGTGAATCCAACAGAAATCATTACTGCATCTAGTAATATCTCAGGCTCACCGTGAGAATGTTGTCGCTTTCTTCCCCCGGCGTACTCGAGGCGAACTCGATCAAGTCGACCGCTGGCTGTAATTAGTGTTCCTAGCAGATGTGACATGACATTACTTCCAAATGGCGTAGAGTCCTCCGCTTCCTGTACTTAGCACTTAGAGATAGATATGCATAAATCACCTCTTAGAGAGCCTGAAGGGGTGATACCGGATTTTTTGTGTGGTGGTTCATTGTCTTCCATCTCGCTTTTGCGTTTCCCACTTTCTAGGTAGATTATTGACCACAGCGGCGTGCCACCAACACACACTCTCAGGCGGCGGTAGCGATCAGTGATGATATATCTCCAGCAGTGCACATCTTTGATTGTGATTTGGAATTGATGAGAAAGGTAAAATTTTCCTGGATTCTTGTTCTCAAAGTAAGATAGATATATGACAATCAATATCGGGCAAATTTTTAAATTCAGTCGCTTTGGTGGAGTGGTTAACACGTTGCCCTGCTATGAATCTCCTTCATGGTTCGTAACCAGTTAGGCAATTCCTTCGGGAGCGTAGGTTCGAATCCTGCAGGCGACGAATTTTTGCCCTTCATACTAATGATAGTAAGAAATGTGATTATCATTTTGCTCTATCCTTTCTTTTTTCCTCTCTTATTTTTCTTTCTTTCTTTTCTCTCTCTTATTTTTTTTTTTTCCCCCCCTCGGGTGAAGTTGCGGATTCCAGCAGTGAATCATCGATCTAATCCAATCATATGTGTGGTTACACGCTACTGTGGTTGCGTTTTGTTTACCCTGAGCTGTAAACCTATTTCACCACCTAGGTATCTAGACAGAGAAACAATTGACATTAAGCCACTTCCTCTCGACGAATGAATCTAAATGAAGGAGTGATATGGAATCTGGTCTTGCTAGACACATGCAGCAGATACGTTATTCACCTTCATCGCAGAATTTTCCAGCCATGTGAAGCAATACCATTATCTATCTTCTACTATTACTCATCTTACCTACCTACCTACCCCCTTTCCACTCGCCTACATCGACTCTTGACGACTTCCTCAGGCGGGTTCGCCTGGCATGTACCATAGACCTGTCGAAGCCTACTTCGTAGTTGGCTCAGTCTAAAGAATCATTACCTCTCATTAAGTTGAACTCAACACTTGCTGGATATATGTTCATATATCCATATATATATAATATGGATGTATTGGCTACATTCTCCCAAGTTGAGACAACCTCTTGATAGCGGTAGGGTCGTAGAAAACAGCAACAACCATTGGAGTTATTGACTCCCGACCCAGGTTTAGACATGAGACAGTCCTTGACCCGGTTGTCGGTTTCATGACTTTAGACACAGCAACAATAGATGAATGAACACACCAAATAGGATCTCTGTTTCTTCTAAGCATCAACATGTTCGTAAGTGAGTAAGTACATGTATACAGATTGTTCCTAAATCTGTATGGCTTCCTAACACCATTTTCGATACTGGTTTTGATTCTCTTCAAGCACCCGTACACCGGTGGTACTTCTAGATGCTTCATCATCAAGTAGTTACTCACATCGGCAATTTTCTCGGAGAAGATTCATTATGGGCGAATCTGCAGAGGGATTGGTTTCATTGGGTTTGTTCCAAGCAGAGTTGATAAACTTGATTAGCAATCCCTCCTTTACAATCCTGCACCGGCAGCTGACGCCGCTATCAATCCTTTAAGAATATTAACAGATCAGAAAAAATGGAACACTACGTTATAACAACCTGTTTTCAGCCTTGCTATCATTGACTAACCCTCGCTTCGCAGTGGTTGAACTATGCAGGGGTTGAACTACTCCAAATTATATGTCTTTACGTCTTATTCATTGGGCGTTTGCCACCTTCCTGTCAGGACCTTCATTAGGTCGAGCAACAAGAAGGAATTTCGCGAGGCTCAGTCAAGCTTCCTAGCTGAGAGTTGTACTTTACTCACGCACCTGTTGCTGACGCATACCCAGATCCCATTGCTGCTGAGTAAAGATTTCGCACCCCATGGCTGCCAGCCTACGGATCTTCCTGTTAGGCAATAAAAGGGGGAGATTGCTGGAATGTGACATCAGCTTCACACTCAGCTGCATTGCTCCAACCCGCCACTGGACCTTCAGATGAGCGGTCATTGACGAATACATGGTCATATCCTATATTTAGCCGCCACTATGAGCCGGAGACTATATAAATGGCAGAAACTCCAAAGAAGAGATTGAGCCTTGTATGGGAAGTGCCCACATACTGTCTTGTTCTGGAAGGACATCACCTCAACTAGTCTATACAAAAATCTTTACTTCATAAGAAAGCCCTTATCCTACCATTGAACATGCATATTCTCAAAGGCACCGCGGTGGTGCTGACGTCAAACGTACTAGTCTGTTGCGCTTCTACGACGTTCAAGAACTTCGGGACCATAAATGGATGGGATGGAACTAATCATGAGCATCAAGGGACTGTTTCTCAAGTGAGCGATCAATCATATAAGTCAGGAACTTCCTTGAGGATGGTACAGAAGTATGATCCGAGTTATAAGGAAAGGTGAGTGTCACCTTCTCTCCTCCCCTCTATGATGATGATGAGCCTTGGTCCTGCGGCGAAAGATTCCCCCCTGGAAATTTTCAAAACGTACCTTGCAGGTGATCCCCAAGGGGGTCAATCGTATGGATTAGAGTTTAACCCATGGTCACAGATACCATTCTGAAGTTTACAAGACAAACGTTTACACGGCCGGGGACGAAGGATACTACGGCTTCGCCTTTCGGCTTGCCCCGGATTGGGACACGTCGGGGGACCAGAGCTATAATATTGCCCAGTTTATAACCGATTTCACGAAACATCCCGATAACGACTGTGGAGATACTTTCCAGCCGTCGATGATGACCTGGGTGGAAGGCAACCAGTTGAAGATTCGCAGTAAAGGAGGCAAGGTGTGTGGAAGCAAACCGCAGGAGTTCACGATCGGAACGGTCCAACCTGGCCGTTGGCACCGAGTGGTTCTCAAGGCTAAATGGGCAAGCACGGCGTCAGGTTCCTACCAGGTGTAGTACGACGGCCAGGAGAAGTGGGAAAAGACGGATCTGGTCACGACGTTCGAGGATGACGGGAATGAGTTCCACTTCCAGTTCCGAGTCGGATTGTATGCCAACAGCTGGTATGACGACCATCAAATGGACGGTAATCAGGGTACAAGACAAGTTTGGATCGACGAGGTTGGATACGGCGATTCCTACGAAGATGCAGATCCCGGCGAGAATTGATAAAATATCTGCGCCCCTGGGAGTAGAGTTCTGGTTTTGTTTCTCCCCAGTCGAAGCAGGCACTAGAACAAGTCTCCGTTCTCCAGGATCGATATGAAGTCGGTACTGAGTGCCGGGACGAAATCGAAGATGATATGACAAATCCCAAGGGCAACACGAGAAGCGGGAGCAAGCAGTGTGGGTTCTATTCGATAAAGTGACCAGCTTCGGGACATGTTTGGTATCTTTTCATACTACTCGGCCTTTGATTCGAATCTGGGCCTTAGATTCTTGGATGTGATCAAGCTTATTATCAGTATTCTCTGTTGATACCTTTGGTAGGCTCTCAATGTTATATGTATGCAACCCACTAGGTTAGCCAATAAGAATCAAGGAGGATTATCGTTACAGATGCATTGGAGTGTTTTCATCTTGATTGGCCCGATGAAGCTGTGCGGGCCGATGGAGACAGCATGGAGTATGTAGGCACGTGTAACGAGGCCTCAAGTCGGGCAGTTGTGTTTGAATATCCTCTGTGCGGTTTGTTGTTGACGATGTGAAATGGAAGTCGAAGATGTGTGTGGAGGATGAAAAGGAGAGAGGCCAAACCCCTTGCCCCTCTCTAACTTTTCCATTATCTATCGTTTTTGTCTTGGCATTTTCGCAGCTCAAACAGACACTAATTAACTCGGTGGCACTTGTTATGTACCCACCCGCACCCACCCAAACCACCGCCCTTCGATATCTACATCTACACATGGAACCTTGGAAGTCATACAGATCACCATCCACCACCATCATCCATCCCATTCTATCCTCCGTCGACATCGATGCTCTCTTCCAATAGCTCGACTCCCTAACCTCGTATCAATCGAGTGTCCGACCACAATGCTCCCTTCCCATGCGTCTAGCTGACCAACCCAGATTACATTCCTTCGTAGTTCTCACCACTGTTACCGCCATAATCCGGACCGTGACCCATTCCTCCTAGCCAGCTTTAACAGACCGAATCCATCCCAACCATCAACCTCTCCCAAAGGCTGGCCGCCTCTGTGCCGCCCAGACAGCGTCGCCAGCTCATATCCGCCATTACGAGCCTTGACTTCTGCCTTGGCGCATCGCGCGCATCCCCGCCTACCCTCTGTCGGCATCCCTCTGGGACATCTCGCCCGCGAACACACAGTATAACATATCTATGCGCCCGTCAGTAGTGCTGGAGTCCCACGTGGGCATCTGGTCGGTACGACTGCCACAATGCTAAGTGCTTCAGCGACACCGACCCAGAAGTCGCTGAGTTCCCAGCATCCACCCTCTGTCAACCCTTCCATTGCACCATCGCGTCCAAGCCTCGATCGAGATGCTAGTCTACAACCGCCTACCTCCACCAATGGAGCCCGAAATCTCTCCGCCTCCGTTGTTTCCTTTGCGCCTCGAGGCTCTTCCTTAGTTACCCCTTCCATCGGCCCCGGCTCTTTCAGTTCCGATCTTCGCAGCCAGATGCAGTCTAGAGCGGGTTCGAGAGCCGATGTCTATAGGAGTGACACGCTGGAAGAGGAAGATGGATCTGTCGCCGAGCATACTCTACATGCCCTGAAGGACTCTCTCAGCCGTGAGATGAAGATCAAGGAAGGAAGTGAGAATATGCTGGAGGCCCTCAACGCCAAGAAAGCAAAACAGACCAAGGAACAGCGCCTGAGGGTCGAAGCTGAGCTCTCTGCCTCGCACCAGAGGATCAAGGACCTCAGACAGAGAATAACCGATGCGCAAAGGGCCATAGCAACACCTGCTACCCCTACCCGAAATCGCGCCGAAGGTCTACTGCAGAGTAGTGGCCTGCGCTCTCCCCCGAGTGCCACCAGGAGCGGGGCCGAGTCAGAAGCTGACGAGCCGACCGAATCTCCCACATTTGCGCTCGCCGAGATATTACAAGCTCTCGAGGTCGAGGGGATGCCGCCGGAATACTACGTTGGGCGGGCAAACAACCTTGTTGATCTCTTCAAGAGATACCCCACACTCAAATATGATTTGGTCTGGTCTGTATTTGGAGATCGCATGCAAGTCCTGATGCTCAGCGGGAGCAGGGAGGTTGTGGCGGCCGGCTACCGCATGCTCCGCTACGCAATATCGGATATGGCGTCTCTGAAGAAGATCCGCAGTCTAAACACGGACTACATGGTGGTCGTCTCCCTGGCCAAGGACCGAAAGGCGGATGTTGAGCGCGAACAAGCGCTCAAATTTGTCCGTGCCTTTCTAGATGTCAAGGACGGTGTTCGTGAAGTGTCCAGAGCACTTGTCAGGACGATCGCGGCCGTAGCCGGG